GCTATCGTCATTGGAACGGTGTGAGTTGGCATTGCAATGTGAGGTCTGGCGTACATTCGGAGAAAGGAGATCTGAGACGTTTCTGACGATTCCCTCGCAACCCCGAAGCCAGCCTAGAGGGCTATTCCGCGCTGACTTTAGCAATGCTTGTCTTCATACATTGAAGTGGTTCCCAAACCAGGCCACCTAGCGAATCCAACAAAACGAGAGCGATATTCTCAGAAAACGGAGTTCGGGCTTTGGTTGAGCTGGTGCTTCCTGGCTGCGAGGCAGCCATCAGACGTGCCGCATGTTGTTGTCGCAGTGGACTCATGACTCATTTCCACTGGTGACCGATTAGGGAAGGCTCTGCTTTTGCCGTCCCAGAATGGATTTTCCCCAGATGGTCAGGCGTGCTTCTCGCTCATGGTCGGCCGGACCATAAGGTTTCCATCAAAACTTCATTCTGCAGCAGTCCCAATTTAGGGTGCAAGGGGCGCTCATCAAAAATGACCGCAGGCCCAGTATGAGGTTGAAGTTCATAGCTCGTTTCGTCTTTGCCGTTGCGATTGGACCACTAGCTCAGTACCCTATCAGTAGCAGAGACTGGGTCAAACACAGCGCTGGTCTTCTCTGTTGTCCTCCTTGCTACAGAGTTCATTTGAGGATCGTCATTCATTATAGTCTGACCTATTTTTATTCCTAGTTGATTAACCCGTTACGGGCTTGCGTTTCCGAAACCATGCTGTTAAGGCTCTTGAAGCATACTTCAACATACTAACGTATTTCGCAATGAAACGGTCTTAGACGGAAGAAATTTGAAATTGAATAGAAATGAGACAGGAATTATGAGACATCCTAATATGTCGTCATAGAAGTCTCCTAACTCCACTTCCGCACCAGCAGAGCTGTGAGAATCTTGGGAGCTGGAAGCTCCAACACTGTTCAGCACGCCGCGTCATCCTATGGCTGTTTTTCCCCATTAAATTTCCCCGCCATCGGTTTGCTTGCACACGCTGCGCTGGTGCAATAAATTAGAGATATTCAGATTATAAGCACGACTATTAAGAGTAGAAGACCTAGGATTTATTTTTGGGAGCAGCGCACACTGATCGGTACCTACGGTACCAGACCTGCGGTAGGACCTGCTTTTGACTTCGTAGGGTAGCTAACTTCGACTCCCAACGATTTGCTGACAGAGGAAGATTTATGAAGTTCCTATTTCTGCATAATTCCGCCACCAAGTGGGCAATCCTATCTCAATAAGCCTCAAAACTGTGGCAGCTCCTTGACTACGGAAGTGGTACACATGTGTACCACTTCCGTAGTAACGGATTAAACGCACTAGTCTGGATAAGGAAGTAATAGGAAGTGTTTTCATTACTAATATGGGCAGGGCTGCACTCATTGTCAGAGGAATGACGTAACGCTTCTCAATCGACGACGCCGATGAGGCCCCCAGCAATCTGGCTTGCACCAGGTATGCCCTCCCACCTCGGAAAGTGGTACGTGGCTGGCATGGCCGCAAACTCGTTTAGGCGTGCTCTCTCCCAGGCCAGCCTTCTTCAGTGCTAATGGGAGATTTGATCCTGCTCGACGCATTCAGGACAACTGGTGTGTGATGCTCGAGCAACCCTCCTATGGATCTTGTTGAACACTATCCCCTCCACACGCGGGTTGGTGTCTGCTGGGACTCCTCCGTCCCACTGATTGCCCACCAAATGTTGCTTTTCTTAAAGGGAAACCACGGGAGTAGCCCGACTAGTAAAAGGTATACCTGCGAGGGAAATTGTAAGGTCGTACCTACCTAGATCACTCCAGCTTCGTCGCAAAAATTGCGCGGTTAGGGCGCTAATCCTTACGGGCCTGCAACCATCGACCCTCGTTGCAACGCTTCCCACCCAACGCGAGAGGTGATGATATCAGTGTATATTGATCGGAACTTGACACAAAATCAAAACGGAAAAATCATCAAGAGACACAATGCATTGTCCACTATCCAAGTCCACATCCAAGCGAACGTTCAGTAAGTCCACTTATGGTCTGCCTCAAGTGCCAAGTCCCAAACATGAATCACCGTTAACCCACTCTCCACTGTTCTCCAGTCAGCACACACATAGGTTCCAATAGGGACTTATGGAGCTTCATCTCACATAGAATGGCTCCCAAGTCGCCATGGCTATTCAAGAAATGATGATACCGCTAGGTGTGATCTCAAATCTACCTTCCAAATCTGCTAAACGATTCTCTGAATGGAGTTATGAAGCAAAACAGCGCAACGGCAGTGGTCGGGATTTGCAGTCAAAACGTCGTAGGATCGGCCCCTGATCGCGTTTACTGTCTTGCGTTCTTCAGAATTAGGCTAAATAGGCTATTAAAGCCTTTTAGCTGTACTTCTGAAGAAGGCAAAACAGTAGACGCGATCAGGGGCCGATCCTACGACGTTTTGACTGCAAATCCCGACCACTACCGTTGCGCTGTTTTGCTTCATAACTCCTTCAGAGAATCGTTTAGCAGATTTGGAAGGTAGATTTGAGATCAGCGTTCAAAGGCACATCTAGCGGTATACATCACTTCTTGAATGGCCATGGCGACCTGAGAGCCTTTCCTTGTCAGTGGTTTTTTTTACCCTAGCTATTTGAAGTGATGTCAATCAGTTGTGAAATAATTGATTGCAGGGCACTATTGCACTATTACAACCCCAGTAGGGGTGAGATGGGTCAAAAAATAATTTTCGCTGAAACTTCGGCTATGGGGGTTATCGAGGGTCCTGATCACGAATATGATATTCATTTTTGGCGCTGGCGCCAATTTGGCGCCATTTGGCGCCAGGTGGCGCCACGACTGATTCCCACTAAATTCGCTGTAAACTTCTGTATAGGGGTTATTTGGGGTCCTGATTACGAATATGACATTCGTTTTTGTTGTTAGCGCTATTCGGCGCCTGCTTCCTGCTCGTCTGCGCCCTCGCACTAATTAGATCGCAATCAGGACTAAGCCTTTGAATAGTGGAGGGCTCCAAAGTGAGTAGGCCACTCCCCTGTGGTCTAACACACTCCAACTTTTGCCACACGGTGCGTGGTTTACCCACTCCGGAGTTTCACTCCCCTCCCCTAAGCTTAGTCCTAGGCGCCATAGGTGAGAAAGCTTAGAAAATCAGAAAATATGCGTTAAACAACACGAATGTTAAAAACCAGTGTCATATTCGTGATCAGGGCCCCAAATAACCCCTATTCAGAAGTTTACAGCGAATTTGGTGATAATCAGTAGTGGCGCCAGCTGGCGCCAAATGGCGCCAATTTGGCGCCAGCGCCAAAAATGATGTCATATTCGTGATCAGGACCCTCGATAACCCCCATAGCAAAAGTTTCAGCGAAAATTATTTTTTGACCCATCTCACCCCCACTGGGGTTGTAATAGTGCAATAGTGCCAATTGCAAGCTGTCTATTCCTGTTTGCGATTCTCCAATAAACAAATAAATAAATAAATAAGTAAACAAATACAATTTACATAAAATAATGGTGCTCTTATTATGAGGCACGTTCAAAATGGCACTGTATTTTCATCAACATAGTGAAATGTCAGCATATTTTGTCTATTATATGTCATAAACAGCACAATTAAAGGTCTCTCTATCACTCCTCAACACCAGAAACCCGCATATTCGAGAAGAGAAAACCATACCTGCACCGGGTGATGACTTTGCATGTAAAATTCGGTGATATCATTTCGAACCACATCTGTATCGACTACGGTAGCTGGCTTTGGATTTTCAATGCCTAAATTGAGAACATTGTGAACAATTAACAAGCCGCAGGTTCATTACGCAGCTGTGAAAGAGAGGGTCAACCGTCAAGTTTGCACCTCTAAAAATTTCGCGGCCCCCTTCTGTAGCCGTTCAGACGTTTTTATACAAAACCGTCATGACAGCTAATTGTGATTTGTTCTCCAGTGTGACGCACCTTTAAAAAATACAAAAAACGGAAGCACATCACGAGATTCGAGAGACGTTACATATGATCCCTACTATATATAAAGCGCTATGTCTGTCTGTTTGTGTTGTGTGTGTGTGTGTGTGTGTGTGTGTCACGAAATTCATAGCTCGCTTCCCTGCAGCGATGGAGCGCTGTATTTTGAATATGATATAGGGGGTGGGTAGGGAACATACTTGGTGGGGTCAGAAAGTGATAACGAATGATAAGATCTGATAAGAGGCGCTGAAACGCAAATTTCACGAAATTCATAGCGCGCGTCCCAGCAGCAGTGGGGTGTTGGTTCAAGAAGTGATGTACAGGGTGGGACGGGAACACGTTCGTGGGGTACAGGAAGTGATAAGGGCGATAAGGGTTGATAAGAGGCGCTGAAACGCAAATTTACGAAATTCATAGCGCGCGTCTCCAGCGCGGACGGCGGCGTGCTTCAAGAAGTGAATGTTACAGGTTGGCGACGGGAACACGTGCGGTGGGTAGGAAGTGATAAGGGCCGATAAGGGTTGATAAGAGGCGCTGAAACGCAAATTTCACGAAATTCATAGGCGCGTCTCAGCAGCAGTGGGGCGTTGGTTCCAAGAAGTGATGTACAGGGTGGGACGGGAACAAGTTCGGTGGGGTACAGGAAGTGATGAGGGCCGATAAGGGACGATAATTCTGATATTCGTAGAAACATAGACCATTTAGAACAATATATTATTCTTATTCTATGAAAGACCAGCTAACGCATTTCACGAAGCAAATTATTGCTTAGCGGTGGAACTTGACGTTCCGCCGGCTGGCCAGCTTACGGAGCCTTCCGTCTCATGCACGCGGTAGTGTGCGGAGCTAAACTGGTACAGATACAAACAAACAAGATCAAGGATCATTCGATACAACCACGAACTTTGGATGCCGGCACTGGTGTGTGGTGTATGTGTTGGATTGTTATGTGTGTATGTAATGTCATGTGTGCGGTATGTAGTGTGTGTGGACCGGGATTCTGGTGGTTCCCACGAGAAGCCCCAAGGGTCAGTGCAGGAAACCACTTTGAAATAGCTTGGCACACCCTACGACCTCCCTTGTTAAAGAAGCTCCCTTGAAAAATGTGGCTCTCGTACCACTTTCATTCAATCTCGAAAAGATAATCCTTGTAAAAAAACTTCGTTGCCCTTTGTTCAGTCCGATTCACCGAGATTCGCATTCCCCGCCCCTCCATCCAGTGACCAGTGGGCTATCGTCGCTATTGTTCGCTGCGGTTGTTCTTCGGAATGTGGCCCTCCCCCTCTGCTGTCACAAAAAAATGAAAGCTGCTCCGTATCGAATAGTGCGAAAGGATTGTTGACCCTGTTGAGAAGAAACTGGCAACTGTTTTACTTATTTAAAGCTCTTAATGAAACACTTCAGCTTACCCCTCTTTTCCACGAAAAATCGTGCATTGTGACGTTTGGTTGCAACAGCCACGGTGAAACGGGGCATCCACGACTCCCGCCCGTGAATATTACCGAACTCTCGGCATGCTTCTTTGATTGCAAACAATTCGTCCTCGATAACCTAAGGTAGGCTTTTATTACATGGTCGAACGAACAAACAACAGTATATGGTACCGTACCATTCTATACTGGCCTTCCGATACGCCATCTCGAGTGATCACAACATTCTCCGGCCACACTCCACGATTCCTCGTGAACAATTCAAGCATCCATTTAAAGCGAGCATTCAACACGGAACCTTCCACCTATTAAAGGCACATCAACTAAATAAAGATGTTCACGAATAGTGCCTCAGTGCGGTGCTTACCCTCTCCCGACGAGGGATTTGATAATGGTAATCGCCAATAAACATTTCACGATGTACCGCACCATTAAACGAGAACTGAAAAAAAGCTTTAAATGTTGAGAACATTAAGTCATTTCCATTCCATTTTTCCTGACAACGCACTACTGCAAGTTGACGAGGGTTTTTGGGCGCTACCACATCTGCGGGGGTTTTGTTTGGGTGTAATTATGTAAACCCGGGTTCACAAAGAAGGGCGTTCCAAATTTCCTACAGGTTGGGGGGTTCTTACGGGTCTGTGACACTACGAGACCGTTTCATTCTCGAACATCAATCATTAGGGACTAAATCAATCTGTGGTACATAAACGTCTTTTAAAGGCAGAATTCACGAGGTAAAAAGCAACCATGATTAAATTGATGGTGAGTGGATACAAGAAAGAAGGAAAAACCATGAGAAACGGCCCAGAACCCGAGAAATGGGACCCCTTCCTTGCCCGTTGATTTCCGCATTGATGCGACTCTCATCGCTGTGCCCTCTTCAACACTACGCTCTCTCTGCTATCTAATCACTCGCCACGTATAGACTGCGGCGAGTGATAGATAGTTGGGCGCACCCTGCCAAAAGCGCCAAGTATGAGCCATGGTAGATCGCCCAGGTCAAGTCTTTCGCTGCCAACTGTGTGTCAGTTCGCACCCTTAAGCACGGTCGAGCGAGGCGTCAAGGAAAATTTTGAAATACGACCCCCCCCCACCCCGCCGAGAGGCCGAAGTCCATGAAACGACCCTCTTCAAAAGCCGAACTATGAAAAGGTTGTTTAATTCTCCCCCAAAACTGTTCATAAAAAAGCCCTGCTACCCCACCGTCCACCAAAAAGTCGTTCAAGAAGTACAAAAGTGAAAAAGTCAAAGAATGTCATTACTAAACATGAATACCGAAGCAGAAAAACGACAAACTAACGATGAAAAAGCGCATTATGGAGAACCTCATTCTTCCTTTACTCTTTACTTTATATGGAAGGCTAGATACAAATCCAGTAAGCTAGCACAGGAAAGAGGCTTGTAACCGCCGTAACCAGCTGTGTGCTGATTGATCTTTGGCGTTGAACGTGGAGCAGTTTATCTACTATGAAATCTGAAGAAATATTAAAATAGTTGTAATAATAATTGTAACCTTCTTCAAATATGACGAGTTTCCAATCCGAAAGCAGCTTTGGGAGTTTTTGCAAAGCCATTTTATTATGGTACTAAACTGCAAAATACTAATGAGATATGAATAACAACTTAGATTGATTAACGAAGAAAATTCAGGATGAGCGTGAGTTTTTGAAATTTCTAAAACGATAACTCGGTTCAAACTCGCCCAATTTGGAAAACAATATGTCGTCATAAATGGAAGATTTGCTATATTCAATGCTTACCAGATCTGCTCAATACGTCCAGTATTTAAAAATGCCAAGTTGAGCATTTTTGCCTGAGTGCCGCCGAAAGTACTTTTTCGCTGCATTAGCACTACTCAACGACTATAGCTCCTTCAGGGGCAATTTACACAAAAGTGGGAGCAGATTCGAAATCCTCGAGCTTTTCTTTTCCAAAAGTGTAAAATTGTTTAGCGTGTCTCAACTTTAACGATTACATGCTTGTGAATTTGACGCTGAAGGCTGCATTTCTTGTTGAATAGTGTACTCCTCCTGTAATTTCACAACCCTTTCAGAATCCTCTTGATTTTTTCCTGAATTGAGATTCTTTCTCCAGAGAGCCGTAGTTGAAGCGCGCGCAACCAACTGGGCCCACTCTGGGATGCGCCGTGTGCTTCACATCCCTTCAGATTGAGGACTCACTTGAAAGATAAAATATCCCTTGGAAAACGTGCGAATTTCGGATTCTTTAACTTGTGTGGTGATAAAACACTGAAGTAACTAAGAATTACCGCGGACACCTCAGAATCACGAAAATTTTGTGTGGGCGGAATCAATTGTTATTGGAAATCCTCTGGCCTGGCATCGATTCGATCCTTGATGTTTGTCCTCCGACGATGATCCTACTGTATCAATCGGGCCCGATCTCTTCCCCAGCGGGCCAATACGACCCCCCCCTGTGACATGTCGAGGATTCCTCAACGCACGCTTGACCCTGCCTTAAGAGGTCTGCCTGTCTCCCCACTAGGCAATTTTCTCCTTCTTTGACTTTCGGTCCTATCGTGAATTCATCCTATGATCGAATTCCGAATAATTCGATAACAACTTTTGTCGCCTCATCTCTTCGCTCCCCTCCAATGCTGAATTGAATAATAAAAAAAGGATAAAGCATTTGCCGTTGATCAATCCCTTTTTGGGATGCGGCACGCATTCTACTTCCATTTGTACATTCGTAGTGGCGTTTGAATGCGATGTGGCCTATACAATGACTTGCGGGGGCCAGCCGATGTACAAGTCAGTGTTTTTATCCTCCCAGACAAGTCTGGTACCAATTAACCGACCCCGGAGGGATGGAAGGCTTGGTTGGCCCGGGCGACTCACGACCCAGGATTTGATCCCCGGACCGCTCGCGTGGTAAGCGTGCCACTTGCCACTACACCACTTCCGCCCTGGGAATTGAATAATAAGGGAATTAAAATCTGAGACATGTCGGTGGGTAGACCATCGTCAAGAGACCGATCGAAGTTGTCTAATCTTCTTTTTCCTATTTATTCACAGCAAGTTATGAGACGTCCCATAGCGATTTGAGCAGCTTGAAAAGTGCATGTTCCAGCAGAGTCACTACTGTTTTGCAATGATGCCGTAGCGATTAGAGGAATCCCATTGCACATTATACAGTTCTAAGTTTTCTTCTTTTCTTGTTTTCTTTCGTTTTCGTTTTCTCTAAAGTTCTGAAGTTTTTTCGCACAGTTCTGATTTTAGTGAAATCGCGTTCCCGGTCAGACCGAAAAGCCTAGTTCGGGACCAAACTGGTCCATTGCGACTTCGAAAGCGACAGGACAGAACAGAAGAACCATTGCAATATGCAAAAAACGTCGAAAACGGCAAAAGTAAAGACCTCCTCTTTAGTTGTGGCAGAGCAAAAAAGCATTGATTCGTAGGTGGGTCAATCGTGATCGGAGCCAATGCCGCACCCTGGGGCTTTAACACTCGGCCCTGTCAAATCAAGCCCATATTTGTGCACTGCTCCGCGCTTGCCTACCACTGCATTTTTCTCGAAGAAAAGCACTTGATACGACCAGAAATCCCCGACCTTCCATTCAGTTGGCTGTGGACTACAAGTGCAAAGACGAAAACTCACTCCAACAACACTAGGTTTCTTCGGTGGCATCCTGTTCATTATTTCATCACGTGTTGGCCTTCCTGGATGAGCGACGTCATAACCAACAATAAGCGTCTTTCCTTTCGCAATCCACACATTTTCACTGAAAGTTAGCAAGCATAATCATACCTTACAAAGAGAAGGAGTAGGAGAGAACTCACGCAAACGACTCTGGTACAACCTCGTAGTTCATTCCTCCCAGTTTCAGATTAGTTTTCGAAACGAAGTTCAAGCAAGATTGCGGCTGTCTGTATATTATGTATATACACACATATTATCTTACATCGAGATTGAATGGATGACTGTGTGAGGCAGCGTAAAAGTGGAAGGGAGTGATGGGGAAGGGGGCCAGAAGGAGGAAGGGTATATGACCACTTTGAAGCTTTTTCAGAGGTTTCAACAGGCCTGATTACCTGCCACACTTTCTAATCTCTCTACCCCATCCATTGTGCTCCCAAAATTAGTTGACCCAAAGAGATCAAGTGGCTCCATCCGCGTGCCCACT